GTCCCATGCTAAGCAGAGCTTGTATTATGGGTACTAGACAACTGATATAAGTATATTTATCTGTTTTTGTTTTATAAATACATATATAATATACATAAAAAATATCCAGATTGGTAACAAACAGTCTTAGTCATGAATACAAATGTTTGTACCGTGCGAGGAATCGAACCCGCGATCATTGGAAGTAAAGCGGTGTGCTAAACTGCTAGACTCACTCTTTTTTTTTTACTATGATGGTGGCAAATAAGCATACTGCCCATCTGATGGTAAATGGTTACCGTAGTCTATGGACGCCTGAAACACCAGGGGTGTCACATACGCGTTGCCGACACTTAAGAAACCTTAATATATGCTTCTTGAAAAACCCCATGCTGGTCTCGTGGAAAACCTCGGCAGGTTCATTCCGCAATCTAAGTGTACGCGGGAGGAAGCTCCTCTGAATCCGCACTGTCCGAGACCACTAGGGTTCTAGAGTGTGGGAATGAATTCCCTGTCGATGGCGAGCAGTGTGATGGTTCTACCCTATCTTTGGCTCTATGTGAGATTGTAAACTACTGAGCCTACTGTAAACCTATGCTAGGATGTAACTTTAGCAATAACATCCTAAATATTTGTTTATAATATCGATCTCCCATCCAATTCAAACGGGGATCGAAATTGTGACGGCCTGATCTGAGGTTCAAACCTCTAGCGGTGGCCTCAGACTAAAGTCGTATCCGTCAGGCGGGAGTTGGCCTTCAGCAGCTCCATAAGTCCTTCCTTTGGCTTGGAGTGTCATCTGCACTCGCCCCCTATCGTCCGGTGAAGCTGTAAAGGCCAGCTGCGGCCAACAGCATTAGAGTAGTCCGAAAAAAAAACAGAATAGCACAGAGGATTCTTTCCTTCTGAGTTGGAAACCGTTTTGTCTCGATTAATAACTTTTAATTTTATTATAAAGAGAAATTGTAACATTTCATTATAAGAAGTTTATTATTATTATTATAAATATATTATTATTTCTATTTCTATATTTATTATAATTCAATTGATAAATAATTTAAATGACGTATAATGAGTGGAGTAACTTGAAACATCATGCTCTCCATAAAGTTCAAACTTGTGGCGGCGTGGTGGGCCGGATCGATGTGCTGCCTTTAATATTAAGCGCAATGATGGCTGGCTCATCCGTCATATTCGTGAACGAGTGCTACTTGTGGGGACTGGTCTATTTGGGTTACGAACACTCATTAGACTGCTTTAGCAATAGCATATGAATATTTATTTAAAAAATAATACGAGCTGAGTTTCTAGTCAGTTCTTCTAATCTCGAAATCATTTCGGTAGATTTGACATATCAAAGTCTGTAATAGACCTACATGAATAAAGGTGTTTTGAATTTTGAATTGAATTTACAAGAAACTATTCTCAACTGATCTCCCTCTTTTCTGAAATTTGTATCAGCTTTTGTACTAAAATCTAAATATATATAACTCAAAGGTGACTGACTGACATAGTGATCTATCAACGTACAGCCCAAACCACGGGACGGATCGGACTAAAATTTGGAGATGTTATGACGTAGGCATTCGCTAAGAAAGGATTTTGATTAATTCTACCCCCAAGATGATAAAATAGGGGATGAAAGTTTGTATGAAACTTTGTCAATTTTAAACCAATCGGGCTGAGTCTCTGCATGCATAAAGCTACTATGACGTAGGCATCCCCTAAGAAAGGATTTTGATAAATTTCACCTCTAAGAGGATAAAATAGGTGATGAAAGTTTGTATAAATCTTAGATTTTCGACTACTGAAATTAAAGATTGAAGCTACTATAATGAAGACGTTCGCTTAAATAGGATTTTGATAAATTCAACCCCCACGAGGATAAAATAAGGGATGATACAGCATGTAAATGTATTACTTTGAACCTATCAGTACCTAATGGAACGAATAAATTAAGACGCAACATAAAAATTTTTAGTTCTTTAGGCTACTTTTATTTTACAAAAATATTTTTTTTATTTAAATTCCACGCGGACGAAGTCGCGGGAACAGCTAGATAAATATAAAATATTTTCATATTGTACATGAGAATTCTATTCAACAATTCCACATAAAATAGGAGCTGTTTACGTAATAATTTGATTACGTTTGTGCTAGTTATAGCAAACCTAATAAAATAATATTAATATTGTATGAGAACATGTCTGTCCCACAAGTTATTAGGACAATCTTTTTACTGTATATATTTCTACTAGCTGACCTATTTGTGCTCTTTTTTGCCTGTGTCGTAAAAGTTTGCTACCTACAACAAAAATGTTTTGTAGTATTATAGGACACAGAACTAAATATTGAATTATTCGAATATTCTAGAGAAATTTCGATCATTCGGACGTTCAATCAAGAGTTTATTACGATCAGAAGATCCTATTACTTGTACGGCTTCGATTTGGGTATAGACATGTTTTATCATATCCACGAAATTTGGGACCAAAACTACACCATCTCATTTCATACCCTTTTCCTATACAGAATACCATACGTTTCGTTATTTATTCTGATATTCAATAAAATCACATATTATATTGGCACAGAAATACGAATATAATATAAACTTATAGTTAACAACATCTTTGATGTTTCCCAAAATGTAGGCATATGAGAAAATGTGACATTCTTGCAGGCTGGTTATACGTTATAAACATCCCAGGCATCAAAGCTCATTTTAATATTATCTCGTAATAAAATTATTATGCTGTGGAATCGACGAGGAATTAAAACATCACGAAGAGACCGATGCCTGTGGAATATTGACCTTCGAAGTACACCAGGTGTCTTACTAACCTGAGAGTTGTTTGTACTAAGAGTTACACTGCTTACCATAATTCGCAGTGAGAACAAGAGACCTATATAGAATATTAAGTATCATAAAGTGAGACAAAGTGATATGAAATCACGAGAAGTGGCACAAAGTGACACAAAGTGCCTTATCGTGACATATAGTGCCGCACAGTGACGCAACGTGCCGCACAGTGTCACAAAGTGCGCCAAAGTTACGCAAATACCAATTTAACGCATAATGACACGAAATGCGCCAAAATAACGCGAAGTGCCGCAGAGTACCGCACAGTGCTGCAAAGTGACACGAAGTGCGCAAAAGTGACGCAAAGTGCCGCAGAGTGTTGCACAGTGCCACAAAGTGACACAGAGTGGGCCAAAGTGACGATAAGTGACGCAAAGTGCTGCAGAGTACCGTAAAGTGGCACAAAGAGCTCCAAAGTGACACAAAGTGCTCCAAAGCGACGTAAAGCGCCACAACGAGCCCCACAATACATCAAAGTACCGCACAGTGCCGCAAAGTGACACAAAGTGCGCCAAAGTGACCCAAAGTGCCGCAGAGTTTTGCACAGTGCCACAAAGTGACACAGAGTGGGCCAAAGTGACGAAAAGTGACGCAAAGTGCCGCAGAGTGTTGCACAGTGCCACAAAGTGACACAGAGTGGGCCAAAGTGACGCAATGTGCCGCAAAGTATCGCACAGTGTTGAAGTGATACAAAGTGCTTCAAACACACAGTGCCGCAAAGTGACACAAAGTGCCGTAGAGTACCGCACAGTGCCATAAAGTGACACAAAGTGCATAAAAGTGCCACAGAGTACCGCACAGTGCCGCCCAAAGCGCCGCAGAGTACCACAGAGTACCGTAAAGTGACACAAAGTGCTCCAAAGTGACGTAAAGTGCCGCAAAGAGCCGCACAATGCCGCATAGTGATGTATAAAATGAAGTGACCATTCTTGCAATGAATTTCAGTGAAGTGACGTGAATTGACAATTATCGGAAATTTGTAATATGAAGTACTAGTTATTAATAAATAAGAGTACTAATATAATATGAAGAACAGTATCGCAGCCTTTTCCATGTTGGCTAAGTCTGTCTTATTTACAATGATACCCACTTCAACGCGTGCCTATTAATTTAACAAGATTTGGGTATTACATTACCATATCTAAGGCAGTTACAGCTACCTACAACGCTACAATTTACGATATTCCTATATTTATTCGTTATTTTGGGAGTACCTAATCTATATATCTTAAACACCAATTGACAGTATTTATTCAATGCAGGATATGGGACACAGGTACCTACAAATAATAATTGCATTTAATAATGTCTAGTAAGACAAATCTAATATTGTGTACATTTTCCTATTGTCATTTAGAATATAAGATCAATATTTTTATGTACATACGAGAATAGTCAGACTATTATCTATGTAAATATATATAACTCAAAGGTGACTGACACAGTGATCTATCAACGCACAGCCCAAACCACTGGACGGATCGGGCTGAACTTTGGCATGCAGGTAGATGTTATGACGTAGGCATCCGCTAAGAAAGGATTTTGATTAATTCTACCCCCAAGGGGATAAAATTGGGGATGAAAATTTGTATGAAATATTGTCAATTTTAAACCGATCGGGCTGAGATTTTGCATGCATAATGCTACTATGACGGTGGCATCCCCTAAGAAAGGATTTTGATAAATTCTACCCCTAAGAGGATAAATTAAGTCGCCGCTGTCTGTTAGCTTATATCTTTTAAATTACGCAACCGATTTTAATGCAGTTTTCAGTAATAGATAGAGTGATTCAAGAGGAAGGTTTTTATGTATAATACATATGTGTTATATTGTAGAAAAACAGATAAATTAAAAGTTTTGTAATGCATCCGTACATAGACATTCCAATATTATTTATATGGATGGACCATATAAATAAAATTGGAATGTCTGTTTGTAATACTGAAATAACTGTTTTTACTGCATGCATATGAATATAAATATGGTACATACACCAAAATAACATTGACTATTTTTGTCTATCTGTCTGTTTGTACCCACTAATCTCTGAAATGGAATAAAAACAAAATTATGTACTATGTCACTTCACTGTCTACCATCTTACCATTAAACGCATTTTTCCAGTCACAAATAGTTTTACTACATATTTCTACAACAATTAATAACTGCTCTTACCATTGTCGTCAGGTTTTGGTTTAGGCTCATTCCACTTCTGTGTCTCGCAGCTACCAAATGCGACGTAGAATGTATTGGTAGCGACATAAATGGCTGACGCCACAAAAAATACTTTACGCCATTCCCTTGGCTCGGTCTGAAAGCAAATATATATATATATATATATATATATACATATATATATATATATATATATAAATGAATTGGTGTTCGTTAGTCTCGCTAAAAAAGGGGATTGTTAGTAATGTGGATTGATTATCTTATACCTAGCAATGTACCATGTCAGGTTGACCTCCACGCGGTTCCTCCTGGAAACCATCGTGATATATTCTTGGTGAATGTGTCACTAACTGACCTGACTTCATGTTCATCTTATCATCCTCCACTGGTGCCCCGCCAGCGTAAACCGTTAGCGCAGGCGGGTGCACCGTTCCATTATCATAATAAAAAAACAACAGCTGAAGCGATTTAGGTAATTTTTGTCTTGAAATATTCATGGAAATCCAGGAAGGTGTAAACGGTGATAAAATATGAAGAAATTGCATGTAAAATAGTGAAAACAACAATTATATTTTCCCATACTGATACCTGTTAAACAGGGTGCGTACAGAAATTTATTGCGTAACTAAACTTCTAAAAACTTTTTACATATTTACTTTTGAGGCGTAACCGAGTTCGCGGGGTAAGCTAGTGAATAATAATAATCTATACATATAAAAAAATTGGAGTGTCTGTTTGTAATATTGAAATAACCGTTTTTTACTACATGCATATGAATATAAATACGATACACCAAAATAATATTTTTTACAATTTTTATCCGTCTGTCTTTGTTCCGGCTCTCTGAACTCTGAAATGTCTGGACCGATTTTGACGGGACTTTTTTTGGCAGGTAGCTGATGTGAACTTAGGCTACTTTTTTTTTAGAAAGCTAGTAAAACCTAACCTAACCTAATAAAAGTAAAATATATTTCATTTACTATGTATATATATATATATATATATATATATATATATATATATATATATAGAATTAGATGTTTAACAAGAAAGAATTTGCCGAAATATTAATGCTGGTATTGGTAATGCTGGGATACTGGACTTAGATTAACTCTATACATTTACTCTTATTTAGTTACCCAACCATTTGGTTGTTTATTGACTCTAATTAATTTGTTAAAAATTTGAAGTTTCAACTAAATCATTTAAAAGAGCAACACGCAAGTTTCTTTCATCTTCTTCCAGTGAAATTGGAACAACTGTCAGTTCGGAATGATTTCCAGATGAGAAGAACTGACAAGAAACTCTGCTCGTATTCTTTTCAAAAAAATGTTGTACATGTTTACAATAAATACACAGTCATTTCAATTAGGATTATTTATATATATTATACTAGCTTTTGCCCGCGGCTTCGCTCGCGTAGTAGTAAGTATTATTATTAATTAGGTGTAGTTTTTGTGGCTTTACTTTTGTTCAGCGTGTGTAAAAAATTAGGAACAAAATCTAAAAAGATTTATATAAACTTTCATCCCCTATTTTATTCCCTTAGGGGTAGAATTTATCAGAATCCTTTCTTAGGGGATACCTACGTCATAGTAGCTATATGCATGCAAAGTCTCAGCCCGATCGGTTTAAAATTGACAAAGTTTCATACAAACTTTCATCCCCTATTATATCCCTTTGGGGGTAGAATGAGTCAAAATTCTTTCTTAGCGGATGCCTACGGCATAACATCTACCTGCATGCCAAATTTCAGCCCGATCCGTACCGTGGTTTGGGCTGTGCGTTGATAGATCACTACGTCAGTCAGTCACCTTTAAGTTATATATTAGATTACAGAACTAACCTCATCTTTAAGTAATGAACCAGCAACTTTCGGTGCCATTGTACCCATGTTGCTGGAGATATAGTCCGTGACGCCCATCAGTGTTCCTGCGAAGTTTGGAGCAATGTCCAAATGCGCCAACTGTTAAAAAAAATAACAAAATCAGTTCTTTAATATACTGAAATGACTCCAGAATTTTACTGGCTGACTGTACTATGGGAAAAAAAAAAACAGTTATTAAATATGCTGCAATAGCTCCAGAATTCTATTGGTTGAGCTCACTATACCATGGGAAACAAATATCTTCGCACGGGTGTGCATTAAATATAAACCTATATATAAACCTTCCAATTCCAATTAAATGCCCAATTTACACTCAGCCCGAGTCGGCAGGGAAGTGAGCAGCGCGAGAGTGTAAACACGAATGGAAACACTTCCCATGCCATTGGCGCTGCCACTCGCGCTGCACAGCGATCTCTCGATTGTCGGTTTTTCGTGCGCGAGTCAAAGGACTGGCATCGCGAGTAGCAGCGTGTTTTTGCATTCAACCCTCTCGCTCAGTTGTCGCCCGGCAATACTTCCAGCAGCGCGAGTGGCAGGGGAAGCGGCTGAATGTAAACGTAGCATTATATTATACTATATATATATATATATATAAGGGTATATTAAGGTTTCTTAAGGGTCGGCAACGCGTATGTGACACCCCTGGTGTTTCAGGCGTCCATAGGCTACGGTAACCATTTACCATCAGATGGGCCGTAGGCTTGTTTGCCACCTAAGTAGTATAAAAAAATATATATAAACAAATAGAACAACAATTGAATAGAGTAGCCTTTTTAACACATACAATATTTGGGAATGGATAGAAAAGCAATGGAATCGACTTGATTAATGTTTTTTCGCTTGGTAACTAGAACGTATTTCTAGAACTATCGATTACACATTCCAGAAGCAGTACTGTGAAGGTTTTTGCTTATAAAAAAATATGATTCGGGACGTTTTATTTATAGGTCCGCCGGGATAGCGCCGGCATGGCGGACACGACTTCCTTACTGACGGTTTTATAAGCTTTACATAAAAAATGGAGCTCGGGAGATGAAGTCGACAAGAGAGACGCAACTTTCCGTCGCACAGTTGATCCTTACTAACATTATAAATGAAAAAGTAGGTATGTTTGTTACGCTTTCATGAAAAAACTACTGAACCGATCGTCATGTAATTTTCTACAAATGTTCTTGGAGGTATTAGAATTAACATAGGATACTTTTTATTTAAAAACAAAAAAATGTTAATATATAAAAAACAAAAAATAAAATATCAACATTTTCAGCAGCAGTCAGTAATGAAGTTATAAATCATATATTTATTATAGACTCAATGCGAGGGAAGCCGCAGGTAATAACTAGTATTATATAAATTTTATACGACTCGTGTTTTAAGCCACAATCGCGGACCGCCCCGTGCGTTTATCTAGAAACTTTGGATCAGGAGGATCATCAGTTTTTTGTCCTTACAAAAATAGAAAAAAATCGTAACTGTGACCTCACCAAAATTCCAGTGTAATGGCCTGCGTTGAGACCCGCTGCTAATGCGAGTAGTAACAGCACTATTTTGACGTCAGCCGGAGCATAAGCTAGTCCAATTAAAATTATAGCAGGACCATACATGCCTGAAATGATATTGAATAACAAATAGAAATATTAGAATAGAATAGAATAAATTCAAATTCAAATTCAAAATATCTTTATTCATGTAGGTCTATTACAGACTCTTATGATATGTCAAATCTACCGTCAGTTCGGAATGATTTCGAGATGAGAAGAACTGACAAGAAACTCAGCTCGTATTTTTTTTTTTTTTAATGTTGTACATATTTATAATAATACTATTTCATTTAAATTCAAATTTGGGAGAATAGAGTGACCACCAGCATATGCTATATAAAAAAAATAAAAAAAAATCAAAAAATCAAATCAGTGTTCGCAACCTAATAGAAAATCATTTATTCAAATGAACTTACATTGAAGCACTTTTGAATAGTCATCACATTTATTTTAATCTACATTATATATTTAATTACATTCTATCTACGGCTACGTTAGTCGAGAAGTTTTCATGCATAAAGATAATGATTTGATTTATTTAGAAATTTTGAGATATTGATTCGATTAACAATATTTTTTATAATATGTTAAAATATAAAAAAAAATATGAAATAATACGTGCGCTTTCATTGCCTCTTTATATATATTATCCAATAGGTATATAAATAGAATTATATATAAATATACTTGCCTATAGAACTAGATAGTTTCCTTATTACTGTGATACTAAACCACTTCTTTTTGAGCGCAAAATCAGACAAAAATCCAAACGGGAAGCTCATTATGAATATAACCATGTATGGCAACGCTGACATTAAACCATTCTGTAAAGAAAGAAATAAATATCATCATAATTTCATATATATTACTATTTAAGTAATTCATAATAAATAAATATGATTCTATATACATAAAACCTTAAAAACCTTAAAAAATATAATATAAAAACTAAAATATATATTAAATGGAGACTCCATTTAATATATATCTTTATTCATGTAGGTCTATTACAGACTCTTATGATATGTCAAATCTACCGTCAGTTCGGAATGATATCGAGATGAGAAGAACTGACAAGAAACTCAGCTCGTAATTTTTTTCAAATAATAGTGGAACATGTTTATGATAAATACAGTTATTAAAATTCAAATTTGGGAGAATAGTGACCACCAGCATATGCACCAGCATATTTAATATATATTTTAGGCAAGGTTCCAATACATCACGCAGAAATACAGAGATACATATCTAAAAACATAACATCATATATTTTTCCATTATTCCTTACATTAGTGTCTTGTCACGCCTGATTTCTAGTCTGTAACAGTTTTTGCATATAAAAGGCTTCTTGAAGCGTACGAGCCTCGAAGTAATGAAGTTGGTAGCTCCTTCAGCGTGACTGACATAATGATAACCTATTACCGAATTTACACACGACCGCTGAAAGAAGTATATAGATCGAATGTTTTTTATTGTTCCCTCATATTCTTGTTAATGTAATAAACTGAAATAAGTGAATAATTGCAAAGTAAGGGAAGCCTATATATTTATGGACGCCCCCTAACATAAACTCTGCTTACAGTGGGACTAGATGGCGCTGTGTTAATTGTCCAGCATTATTTATTTATTTGTGTGTGTGAAGTGTAATGCGGAAGTGTGATATAATCTTAAGTTTAAATGATATCACAAGCAATCAATTGCATGAATTCAAACAAAAATTACAAATCGACTTTTAGGCAAATTTGCCGCAAAGTGCCCGCACGGTGGCAGCGTGTCTCCAGCGCTGCGGTCACGCTACTTTGTGAATCTATATATTCAAATTCAAATTAAAAAATCATTTATTCATGTAGGACATTTTAGCCGCTTATAAACGTCAAATTTTTACATTCTAATTTTAATTTTTTCCCTACCGTCCAGTTCGGTATATAGATCCAATTGAGAAGAACTGGCAAGAAACTCAATTGAATATATTAATGTAAATAAAGAACACGCGGTTGCAGCGCCCCACCCGCGCTGCGGCCACGCATTAGTTCATTGATCGACTAGTGACTATGCGCACGTATTGTTTTGGACTAGTCAGGTTGGAAAGTTTAACGATGCGGTACGTAGTTTCACAATGGATTATGTACATTCGTCATTCATTCATGATTCTCAAACCTAGCGATACCAGTGCGTCTGCAGCGCTGCAGACGCGCTGCCACCGTGCAGGCACTCTGCGGCAAATTTGAAGGCGCCCTAAAAGTCGATTTGTAATTTTTGTTTGAATTCATGCAGTTGATTGCTTGTGATATCATTTAAACTTAAGATTATATCACTATTCCGTTCTATATGTATAAACTAAATCCATTTGTCACACTTTGTCACACCAACACACACAAATAAATAAATAACTCTGGACAATTAACACAGCGCCATCTAGTACCACGGTAAGCAGAGTTTGTGTTAGGGGCGTCCATAAATTACGTGAGGAATTGTTTTTATTTTTCTGTAGGTGAGATGTCGTGAGATTTTATTAAACCCCCTCCCCCAACCCTCAATAACCCTATTTCAAAATGTGGGTTTCTTACGTAAACGCGTTGGATTGTTATTGAAAAAAGAAAAAAAATGCTTCGTTATTTTATTTACGACTAGTTAAGACTAATAATCAATATTGCTGATAGTTATACATAAGTGTAATAAGCATGTACAATCTGAATTTAATGTACCAAAATAGTATAATTTCTTTTTGTTTCAATCAGAAAAAAAAATTGCGTGATATTTGCCGAGACTCCCCTCTCTCCAATATAAGATTAGATGAGATTTGAATCGATACCCTCCCCCCTTAAACACCTCACGTAATTTATGGACGCCCCCTTATGGGCCCTAGACCACTGATAGTAAATACTTTCATACTTTTTTTTTAATACATACGAGTACATAATATATAAAACAATCATATAAACAATCATGAATACAAAAGTATTGTACGTGTGTATGTAAATCTTCACCATGAAAAGAATGGAACCTAAACCTGGAGAATAGGTTAAACACACCGCTCACCATGTGTTCGGTGTTTTATCACAATGGAGTAATAAAGTTATTAAGTGCTAGCCAAACTTAATTTCACGACATTTCTGTCTCGTGTCTGTGAGACTTAGTAATTCACTAATTACTAAGCCACGAGCTCTCAATAGTAATATTTCAATTGAACTCACCGCTGTAATATCGACTCCTAAAACTTGGGTCATATAAATCGGTATTTGTGTCATCAGAGTCCAGAAACCAAATTCATGACCGCTGTGAACGAGGATCAATGCGTTAAATGGCAATGAGAATATTGAAGCTTTCCACGGAGTCGGCAATATCTGAAAACAAGACAGGGTACTTAGTTAAATTATATACGTCACTGATAAAGTCCTACAAATTGTAAGTAAGGTGTAATTTGCATGAACACAAAGAGTGAAACCGATTGAAATTTGAGTATTTTTAATTTCGTAAAATGTATATTATGAAAATAAAAAAATATATAAAGAGAATAGAAAATTCCTTATTCAAATAATCTTAATATGTTTTTGTCTTCCATTGATTCCTGTTTGGAGTTCATCATTCAAGCAGTCCATTCATCTCTTTTGACAATTACCAACACTATTTACTGAGTGGAAGAAAATATACAATATTAGCATTGCTGTGCTCCAGTCAAGTTGTGATCCAAATTAGTCTAAATGTCGAATGAGTGAACCATATTTACTTTAAAATTATATACATATATCAAGATTTGATTCAATCAATCGATGATTGAGAAGCAGAAAGAGGTCTAAACCATTCTTATTTTTTGATCTCAGTACCTTTTCTTCACCAGTATGTCCCAGTGAGGTTTGTATATAGATTCTCTCTTTATCACTTATAATTGTCGAAGTCTTCGGAGATGATGAGCCTAAGAATAAATAGATGGCAGTCCAGATTAAACCTAACGTGCCGTTTACGTAGAATATAGCAGGCCAACCCCAATTATCTGCTACGAAGCCCGATGCCATTAGTTGTACTGCTGTACCTAAATGGGCTCCTGAAAATGAAAACCATTAAGAATTGGTATCACTTCACACTCACATTGTAGGATCTAAATTAGTGTTTCCCAACGTGGGCCCCACGTCACAATTAAATTTCAAAATAGGGAAGGGGGGGCAATTTGAAAATATAGTAGATATGACACGTTTAACCCTGGAGACATGGGGCAGGGGCACAAAAAAAGTTGGGAATCACTGATCTAAATGAATGGTTTTGGTTGGTTTCAAAACAACATCCAACTGGTAACTTGTCGAGATTAGCGAAGTTTTCATCAGAACTTTTAAAAAAATATATAAATTCAAGTTTATCAGGGCCAGGGTTGTCAGGGTTATACATAGATGCTGATTTGGGTTATAAAATGCTTAAATATTTTCTATATCAAAACGATCATTTTGTAACTTTACAAAGTGTACATTTTGTACGACCTAACACTTTGGAAAAGTAATCAAAAGTGAAGAATAAACAAACCTGAGTATATTAAGGTCCCAAGACGATTCCTTTCATCCAAAGGAACCCATTTACTGATAAGGTTATTCACAGAGGGATAGAGAAATCCTTGAGACAAACCTAGAAGTATGCGACAAGTGCGAAGCGATTTCCAATCACCCTGAAATTTAAGACATGTTCATAAATTAAATTAAAAAACAATTCAATCATTCAATCGTAAATGTAAAACCAACGCTTTAGTCGGTGGAGCTCTTGCTACTTTCAGGAAACTGTCACTTTCTTTAAAGAAGAATAAAACTAATTAAATTCACGTTGGAGCCTGGAAGGCAAATTGATTTTGGCGTGCGCTTCAGCGCAGTTCTCCGAAATCTGGTAGTTCCTATGCCTCTGAACGTATGGATGCGCGCATGGGCATATGCGTATGGCTTTTTAAAGAGGCAACACTAACCTTGGATACACTGCTTCGATGTACCACATTGGATTACAATGATTATTTTTTTTGTGTGTTAATTTTAAGTATTTGCGCGCGGCTCAACGAGGTTACTTGTGACCCAACAGCTGGTAGCTGCTTTGCCCAGAGGCTAAGTATGGCCATTCAAAAAGGTAATGCTGCCAGTATCTTGGGTAGAATGCCTCCATGCATGCAGCCGTATTGGATTATAATGGTTGTTTTTTTATGTTTAAATTACTAATTATTTATTGTTAGCAGATTATATGATATTTAAGAAAAGTAACCTTTTGCTAATTAAATGTAATTCTTTGTGACTTTTGTACAGAAACAAAAGGATTCCAAAATTAATTAAAATAATCTAAATGTACGATACTTACGTTGTACGCGCTTGTTGGAAGCAACAGAGTGATTATTGAGTTGATGATAATACATAATATGATGACCACTTTCCCGCCAAATCTGGCAGACACTTCGCCGGCAGGTATTTGTAGGAACCCGTAGCCCCAGAAGAATGACGAGATGATCACATTTTGAATGGACGCACTCCAATCGAAGGACTATTAAATAGAAACGAAAAATTCATTCTTACCAGCTATAATTATCATTTATTTCAATATGTATTAAGACATATTCTACTTTAATTTATTATCATTGTTAAAGGACTTATCCCATACCATATTTCAGATCTTGTAAATTCCTTCAAACAGCATATCAAGCGAATAAGCGGTCGCAACATATTTATATATAATAATAAATAAGTAATAAGTCATTTTTAGTCAAATAAAATATATTTTGAGATAAATATATGTAGGTAGTCTACACTAGTCATGATTGTGTGCTGTAATGTCCCATTATGTTTTGCCTTATTTTTTTCTAAATAATTAACATTTTCCGTCAAATGAATTATAAAAAACATTATATTATTAGGTATTTAAAAATTCATTTAAGAAGAACATTTGTGGAGTAACCAATTATTTAATTTCCTGTCCTCCTGAAAGCTCCATTATAGCGTCAGATATTTTTTTATAAACTTGTATCGCTATATGGAATACATTGTTTTTGGACATTTGTTCTTTGACTTGACTTAAATTTGTTCCATGTACAATTTCTAAAATTCTAATTCTACAATTCCTAAAAATAAAAAAGTCAAAGATTTAGAGTAGGGGCTCTAAATCTTTGACTTCTTTATTTTTAGGAAATATATATTAATTTTGAGATATTATTTATTGCAGTGTGCTAAACTGCTAGTTAGCTAACCTTGGTCGTCTAGCAGTTTAGCACACCTTTACACGCGATGGTCGCGGGTACGATTCCTTGCACGGCACTGAGATTTGTATTCATAAGTATGGGTGCTTTCTATGTATAATATGTGTATGTATTTACAAAAAAATATCTATGTATTTGTATCAATTATCTAGTGCCCATAACACAAGCTTTAGCTAGCTTAACTTGGGTCTAGATGGCGCTGTGTGGATTGTCTTGTGATTATTATTATTATTATTTAAAAAAATATATATTGTACATTCCAGATAATATGCTAATCTGTGTTTTTAAATAGTTGTTGCCGATTGAGTATCGGGGTTTCCTTTATATTATTTAACTGGAAAACCCCTGTATAAATTACTGCGTGCTCCTCTAATCTGAAGAACATATGTTATTCCACTTTATTAGATAATCTTAAATTGATATCTATATTAGATTATCGCGGTTTCCCACGTAACTTTACTACTTTCGCCACTGTTGCTATAGGGTAAATACAGCGGCGAAAGTTTTTATATCGGCATTAATGCCAATTCTCAAGTAACTACAATGCTTTTAGTTTTATTTATCGAGAGTACTCTTACCAGAGTCTCCGATTGGGGGCCACTGAACTTAGTTCAATTCGATCCTACTAAAACACAAGCCTGCGCGTTCACCGCTAAGAAAATCCCTTTTGCTGTGATTCCGTAATTCCAGAACACGTCCATTACTATCTCTAAGAGTATTGAGATTCTCGGTGTCGACATCTCTATCACAGTTGAGTTCCGTAATCACCTCGAAGAAAAGATAAAGCTGGCGTCCAAAAAGTTCGGTGTGCTCAATAGAGTGAAGCGGTACTTCACTGCGGACCAGAGACTCCTATTATGTAAGTCGCAGGTTCGGTGCACATGGAGTACTGCTCCCATCTTTGGGCAGGAGCACCTGGATACCAGCTCGATGCTTTTGACTCGATTCAGAGACGTGCTATGAGAATTGTCGATGATCCCAATCTCTCCAGCTGTATTGAGTCACTTAGTTAAGGCTTCGCTTCGCTTTGTGTGTTTTACCGATTATACAACGGACTCTATTCTGAGGAATTGTTTGACATGATGCCTACGGCCATCTTTTACCATCGCACCGCTTGCATCAACAAGGAATTCAGGGAGACTACAGCATGGGGTCTTTCAAGAAGGGTATATTAAAGTTTCTTAGGTCTCGGCAATGCGCACATGACACCCCTGGTGTTTCAGGCGTCCATAGGCTACGGTAAACGTTTACCATCAGATGGGTCGTATGCATGTTTTCCACCATCGTAATATAAAAAAAAGTTATATATTTAGCCGGTATAAAATAAAATAAAACTAAAATGTATGGTATGGTATGGTATGGTATGTTAGACTCCATTCTCTGCAATTAGCCTCACATTCGGGCCGTTGTGCGTTAAATAAAATGTATTTAAAGTAACTTTAATTGCAAAAAGAATCATCGACCGATTCGATATATATAATTTTGAATGTCACACTTATTTATATTTAATCAATAGCCTAAAAAATAAGTTTATAGCTTCTAACATTAAAAATGACGATACCTCCAGACAAATTTTCATCTCCCCTTTCAACCCCTTACAACTCTTTTATCGCATTAAAAAGTAGCCTTTGTCCTTTCCCAGAGTCTAAACTATCAGTGTACGAAATTTAATTTAAATCGGTTCTGTACTTTTGCGGTGAAAGCGAGACAGATAGACAGAGTTACTTTCACATTTATAATATTAGTAAGGAGTAAGGATTATTAGAAATTGATATAATAAAATAAATGAAAAGAATAGTAACTTATTGCATAGCGTTGAGTGTTACCAAAACCTTACATTATAATTGTCTGCATCCATCACAGCGACGAGGGCTATGCTCATGTTGGCTCTTGGAAATTGATATAATAAAAGAAAAGAAAGGAAACTTATTACATAGTGAAGTGTGGAGTGTAGAGTGTTAGCAACACCTTACATTATCATTGTCTGGATCCGTCATAGCGACGAGGGCTATGCTCATGTTGGCTCTTAGAAATTGATATAATAAAAGAAAAGAAAAGAAACTTATTGCATAGTGTAGTTTGGAGTGATAAGCGACGAGGGCTAGCCTAGTGTTGACCCTTAACAATCGATGTAATAAAAGAAAAGAAAAGAAACACATTGTACAGGGAAGTGTGGAGTGTTACCAATACCTTACATTATCATTGTCTGGATCCGTCATAGCGACGAGGGCTATGCTCATGTTGGCCCTCATTCCTAGCGCCACCATCATTGCCAAGAACAGCATCAGCACTTGTAAATGTCGTATACCCATAATTGATTCTGGAATGTACATATGTAATTACTGTTTTATTTTTATAAGACATTACACCCGCGACATCGGCCGCGTGGAATTTGACTTTATTTTTCTAAAATAAAAGTATCCTAAGTTACTACTTATTACATCAGCTATCTGCCAATAAAAGTCCCGTCCAAATCGGTCCAGCCATTTCTGAGATTAGCCGGAACAAATAAACAGACAGACAAAATTGTAAAAAATGTAATTTTGGTGAATACGGTATGTATTTATATATATTCTTTATTGAACTTTTAAATACAATAGTAAACTTAAATATATACAGAGTCATAAAAGATGGACTTGTCTCTAAAAGAGATCTCTACTAGTCAACCCAAGAGTGAGGCATAACAATTAAGCATAACAAACAGAAACTACAATATTATTTCTATGTATATATGTATAGATTAGATGATAACTTCTTTAAACTTACTTGGTTTTTCGACATCCGTAACTTCTTCTACGATAGTCTCCATTATTTTATTTTGTATTTATTGACACGGCCTGATACGGAAAATAAAAAAAATGACTAGATAAAACAACGCGAGTGCTCCGCGTCCGAGCGCACTGTGTTATTGATAAACAGATGAGTTCTCTATCAAGACTAATCGAGATTAGAGTCTATATGAAACAACTATTAAATTGATTGATGATAATCTGAGATTTAATTCTCGGATACGAACAAAATGTTACGCGTAAAAAACCCGATTTTTTTCTGGTAAATTTGACAAATATCAATATAATACTTGAGTTAATAAAATTATTGTTGTTAAAGTAGATTGTAATCTATAAAATAGTATTGTTTGCATGCAGCGCCAATAGATGGCGCTGTAACAAAATTGAAACGCGCTAACGTTTCGTTTTATAGAAAGTTCATATGTATTTTACTTTATAACATTATTTTACTTTATAACATTTTTTCCTTAACGTGCGGTGAACCTGTAAAGGCCAGCTACGGCCAACAGCATTAGAGTAATAAAAAAAAATTTTTTTTTGCCATCTCCCATCGATACCTCCGACCAATTCAGGGATCAATGTTACGATGGCCTGAGCCGAGGTTCGAACCCCTAGTGGTCCTCAGACTAAAATCGTATCTGTCAGGCGGGAGGTGGCTTTCAGCCGCTTCATAGTCCTCCCGCGCGTTTGGAATTCCATCTGTATACACTCCCTGTCCTCTGGTGAAGCTGTAAGACCAGCTGCGGCCAACAGCATTAGAGTAGCATATTTTTATTTATTATTAGAATAGGACCGTGTGATTTTAACAATTGTTATCCTATTTAATTGAGCTTTTGTATTGAATACTCATTTATATTGAGAGAGAGCTGTTTTGTTAACCTTTATCTATACATATAAATAAAATTGGAGTGTCTGTTTGTAATATTGAAATAACCGTTACAATAAATCCAAGTGTACGCCTTGTGGAACTCCCGGAAACAAAATCGGATGTATGACGTAGCAAATTCATACGCAAAAAACCCAAAATGTCGATAACTTAATATTACACAATATCAAATCAAGGAAACGATACGTGTGATAACACGTACTAGACATCCGTTGTAATGTGAATATTATTCATACATGTAAAGATCATAAAACAAGAAACCCCGGGCGAGGAGATAGGTAGATAAAATTCAAGATTAGGTAGGTACTTATTAAACCTAAATATTACAGATTGTAGTACTTATCTTGTTTGATAGATCTGAGCCGTAAAACATGTGCATAGGTAAATATAAACATACTTTACAACCAGTGCACGCGGTTTCACTCGCGTTAAATTTCAATAAAAATATAGCCTGTGTTATGCTGATAAATACGTAACGCAACGTAGACAATATGGAGAGACTAATGGTAACAGGCAAGATAGAGGGTAAAAGACCTCGAGGCCGAAGTCCCACTCGATGGTCAGACCAGGTATCCCGTCAGCTAAACATTACTGTCAGCGTCGCATTACACCAGGCGTCTGAGCGCAACCGATGGCGACAGCTGGTCGACAAGATACTGTAGAGTCGCGATCCTCAGCAGTGAGGAAACGATTAAGAAGAAGAAGATGTGTTATTCGGATGCATAAGTTATATTACTGTAAAGTTCCATCAAAATCCGTTCAGTAGTTTTGCGTGAAAGAGTAACAAACATCCTCGTTCGACTTCGTTCGCGCAGCGCACGCAAAATTTTCACCGTTTTTGATGCCGTTTTTTACTGATGCTTCATTTCTATTGGTAGTAGCGTAATGTTATAGTCTAAAACCTTCCTCGACAAATGTACTATCCAACACAAAAATAATTTTTCTATTTGAACCAGTAGTTCCTGAGATTAGCGCGTTCAAACAAACAAAATCTTCAGCTTTATAATATTAGTATAGACTAGCTGACTAGCGCAACTTCGTCTGCGTTTCATTTCGCCAACTTTTGCAATATTTTTCATTGCAGCTCCGCTCCTATTGGTCGTAACGTAATTTTTTTATATCTACTAGTAGTTCTTGAGATTAGCGCGTTCATACAAACAAACAAAATCTTTAGCTTTATATTATAAGTATAGTTTGTGTTTGTATGAACGCAAAGTTCATCAGGCGCTCATCAGACACATTTGATACCTCCGCTTCACTCCTACTTAATACATACCACAACAATATACATTCATTTTATATTTCTCTGTTGTAATTATTTTTTTTTTATACTACTATGGTGGCAATCAAGCATACGGTCCATATGATGGTAAATGGTTACCGTAGCCTATGAACGCCCGATACACCAGGGGTATCACTTGCGCGTTGCCGACCCTTAAGAAACCTTAATATACCCTTCTTGAAAAACCCCATGCTGTAGTCTCGTGGGAAAACCTCGGCAGGAAGTTCATTCCACAACCTAAGTGTACGCGGGAGGAAACTCCTCTGAAACCGCACTGTTCGTGACCACTTAGGTTCCAGTGTGTGGGGACGAATTCCCTGTCGATGGCGAGCGGTGCGGTGGTAAAAGGCGGCTGTCGGCATCATGTCGAACAATTCCTCAGAACACAGTCCGTTGTATAATCGCTAGAACACACAAAGCGAGGCGAAGTCTCGCCTCAAGCTGAGTGGCTCGATACCGCCAGAGAGATTGGGATCATCGACAATTCTTTCTAAGAAATAAAATCATTTCTCCTATATTTCAGTTAGCCAGCACCAGTTCTGTGTTCTGTATCTAATAATGTACAACTGTTAGAACCTTCGGCTGCTGTCGATGAGATGACACAGCCAGAGGCACAAAGTGACCAAATGTCTAATGATATACCGGCTGATTTCCCACCTGAGATGTCAACAGAAGGCCAAGGTTCTCGTCTGATACGTCGACGACGTGAAAGGAAACACTTCAATTTGGATGCAGCTAGAAGTACATTTGTGGATATAGGTAGAGCCAGTCTTCAAGAAAGGCAATCTAGTATTTTGGAGAAAATATTTCACACATTGAATAGTATAGCAGATAGAATTGACAGGTAAATAATTATATGTATGTATTCGTCCGCGTGGATTTTAACTTTATTTATCTAAAATAAAAGAATTTTTCAAAATAAAAGTAGCCCAAGTTACTCCTTATTACATCAGCTACCTGCCAAAAAAAGTCCCGTCAAAATCGGTCCAGCCATTTCAGAGATTAGCCGGAACAAACATACCGACAGCCAGACAGACAGACAGACAAAAATAGTAAAAGTGGTTTTTTAGTGTATGTACCGTATTTATATTCATATGCATATAGTAAAAAACGGTTATTTCAATATTACAAACAGACACTCCAATTTTATTTATATGTATAGATTAAAATGGTGCAAAAACTGAATCGTAATTTATTTAATTTATTAGGTATCCTGGAAAAATCTGACACATAGATACACTATACAAAGTGTCTGACTGTTTGTTGTGTAAACCACAACAAACAGCTTTTCACTAAATGCATATGTAGTATATAAGGTAATATTTGAAACAGGTGGACCGATTTTGACCGTATTTTTACTCACATATAGGTAATGTTATAATTTAGGTTACTTTTATTTCAGATATTTTAATAAAAAACAAATTGTTCCACATGGACGGAGCTAAGTAACAGCTTGGATATAAAAAATACCATGTCCCTTTAACTATAATTATCAATAAAAGACAAACAAATAATGTATATGTATATTATAAAAACAAAATAAACTATGGACCTATTGACAATATTGTAAATATGCTTTAATTTGTAGAATTGCGATAATTCCACAACCGAACAACGAGAGCTCGTTTAGCAGCTAGACCTTCATTTAAGTCTCTATTAGTACTTATACATAGATTGTGAGTATTACTATCCTCACTCAGTTGCATTGCAACCTCTAATGCAGCTTCTTCTTCATGTAGAGGTGGTATTGGGATATCTGACTTAATGCTGATGTTATATAAAATGATACAAGCATTTATAATACATCAGGTGCATTATAAATGCTTATCAAGCATTTACAATACATCAGGTGCATTATAAATGCTTGTCAAACATTTATAATACATCAGATGCATTATAAATGCCTGTCGAGCATTTATAATCATTTGCTATATCAGGTGTTTAATGAAGTACCCTATGTATAAGTAGGCATCTAAATCTGGCCATCAGAAGCCCAATTGTCCTTTCGTTTACATTCCGTGCTCTCATATGTGAGGCAGTATAATGTGTTGGAGATCCCGGTAGAGTATTGGTGATTGGAGTCATCATGTACTTTCGTAAAGCACATCCAGAGTCACCTAAAAAAGAATGACATTTTATATATTATATTAATTATTTATTTACAAAAGTTTATAAAAAAAGAAACAAAGCACTGTTGATAACTTCATGTCTATATTGTTGAAGTTTAGAGCTCAGATGTAATGATAGGTGATCCCGGTAGAGTATTGGTGATTGGAGTCATCATGTACTTTCAATTATTGTAATTATGTTATATAAAATGATACAATCATTTATAATACATCAGGTGCATTATAAATGCTTGTCGAGCATTTATAATCATCTGCTACATCAGGTGTATAATGAAGTACCCTATGTATAAGTAGGCATCTAAATCTGGCCTTCAGACGCCCAATTGTCCTTTCAATTACATTCCGTGCTCTCATATATGAGGCAGTATAATGTGTTAGTGATCCCGGTAGAGTATTGGTGATTGGAGTCATCATGTACTTTCGTAAAGCATGTCCAGAGTCACCTGAAAAAGAATGACAATATATATATTATATTAATTATTGTAATTATGTTATATAAAATGATACAATCATTTATATTACACCAGGTGCATTATAAATGCTTGTCGAGCATTTATAATCATCTGCTACATCAGGTGTATAATGAAGTACCCTATGTATAAGTAGGCATCTAAATCTGGCCATCAGAAGCCCAATTGTCCTTTCGTTTACGATCCGTGCTCTCATATGTGAGGCAGTATAATGTGTTGGTGATCCCGGTAGAGCATTGGTGATTGGAGTCAT